AAAGAGCAAAGGGTAGAAAACTAAGAATTTGAAAATGAGGCTTGATTCATTTATGAAAAGGATATGTAGGATGTGATTGCTTGCAATAGTAAAGCTGTGTGTGTTGGATGGATGACATTCCAGTCGTGGCTTTTTCTTTATCTTAACACTTTCTCTAGCTTTCTTCTTGAAAATTTAGAATGTCTATCAAAAAGTCAGCAGCATTTATTTTCACCAGCTATAAACATAGTCATCTTTAAGATATGTAAGCCACAACCATTCGAACTTAGTTTGGTGGAAATCCTAATTTTCTGTCACAACCTTTTCCATTAAAATAAGAACTTCTTGAACAGCTATAATTTGATATCTGTAACTTTCTTGGGCAAACTAGCAAACAGGTTAATTTACTTCAGCCCAAGCAATTCCCTGAAGCAAGAAGGTCTTGTTTTTTTGCAATTTTTGTTTCTTGTTTGGGTACTCAGGTCTCTAATAAAATACAGATTCTAGTTAAACTTCTGCTGCTGCTTGAATTATCTCTGTGTTCCTTCACTCGTACACATATACACACACACATACTTTTTCTGGTAATTAATGAGGGATAATGTTACACTGCAACTTTTCACTCAGCTGAAAAATCAATATGCAGTCGGCTTTTTTCATGAAACCTGTAGGAACTTAATATCTTGAAAGCCCTGTCTCTGTCAGATTTCATTAATATTCACCAACTGATTTAAAAGTTATTCAGAGAATATGGGTGAGCAGACTGGGTGGTTATACGGCTGCATTTCTTTTGGGAACAGGGCCGAAAGGACATACTCCTCTGAGGTGACATGCTTAGAAATACCTGAAAAGTAACAATAAATTGTCATTTTTCCAGTAAAGGATGGGAATTCAGAGGAAAGTTATGACAAAAAAGTAAGACTTCATGATGCATATGTAAGGCCATTAGGCATAAATTTATCTTTATTTCATTGAAGATGGTTAAGTCAGTCTAAATACCAGTATAAACATAGATAGTTTATTCAGTGTAACATTCTGAGGGGCTACTTTTTATCTTCTTTTGATGTGATGAAGTTCACAGTTCATTGTAATATGAACTGTTAGAGACTCAGATTCAGACTGAAACATCAGAAAGGTTAGTAATCCTTTTTCCTGCTATGCAGAGTAAAATGAAGTGAGTGGACCCACATTTGTGGATTCGTCTTCCCAATACCATAACTTCTATCAGACTTTTGGGGGGAACCTGCCAGAATTGCTCCCATTACTTGACTGTCTCTCCATGCCTGGAGTGGAAGATCATTTACATCTAACAGTCCACATTTACATTGTGTGTAGTCTTCTTTAAAGCCCTTGTTGCTTCTCTTTGTGCCTCAGTGTTCATCTTCTACCATCTCGTGAAAAGGGACATCCTTTGGTAGATTAGTAGAGCTAGACAGTGCAGCTTTAGTCTGAATTTTGCTTCTTTCTGTTTTTGTTTGACACAGTCACCTTTTAAATATCTTTTCTTTTTCTCTATTTTCCCCTTTGCACACTACTAATAAGCTGGTTTGTGTGCTGATATCTGTTCTGTACAGGCTATTCATATGTCTATACTGGTCCACTAAGAGAGCAACATTTATAATAATTAGAGAGAACTCTTTGTTTTAAGACCTTAGGGTTGGTTTTGGCTGCGCTCCATATGATTATTGATCGATGCTCATGGTGTCTTTCATATATTATTTTGTCTCCTCCCCTTTTCTTTACCTTACTTTGCTGGCAGGAAATGCTACCTAATTTTAAAGAACTAAGTCTTCTAGGTCCTATTTGAGTCTTCATCACATTCTCACAACATAGCTTCTCTGCGACCTGATATCTTGAGTGGTAAAACACCTGCCTTATATGTGAGGCGGAAGCAAGGGAGTATCTTATTCCTTTGCAGTCTGTATCAAAAAGTCAAAATCTTTCTTTTTACCATCTTATACTACATGAGAAAAGCCATCACATTGCCTACAGTAGGAAGAAAGATAATTTTTCAAATGCATCCATGTGGTTTTGTTTCTAGGTTATATAAGGCTTTTGCAATGGAAACAGGTTTTGGGGAGTTCCATTTGTACCTGAGGCCTGTGCTCTTTGAATCTGCATCTCACAGGGAGAAAGCAGGCCACCTCCCACCAGTATTCATTACCTCTCTGTTGGAAGATGACAACTGTGTTGACAGGTAGACTGAACTTTTTTTGAGTTTCACAGGGCATGATTGGATGGGATCAAGCCTTTATTCTGCTTAGGCTCACATATAAGCCACAAAAACTTCAGCGTGTGAAACACATAAAATTATTCAGTCAGAAAATGTAAAATGCTGCATGATTTTTTTCCTTTTTGTACACACTCTGGGCCTGAATGATGCTAATGTAAAGCTGTTGAGCAGTGAACGTGAGGAGACACTGAATTTGTGTGGAATGCTGGCAGTTTTGGGACTGAAGTGCATTTTCTGTCAAAGAGAGAGATGCCTAATGAGGCTGGCCTGAAAGTGATTGCCCCTATTAGGTAGCAAAACAGGAGCTCAAAAACTGTTGTGAATAAAGTCCTTATTCTAGGCACAAAGAAAACTTATTCTCCTAGAGTTATACTGCACTTCATGAAGTGGCATCTTTGATCTTTGTTTTTCAACTCAGTGACTACTAGACCCAACCTCTGCACAAGGAAAACACTGTTTATTATCTTTGCTTTTCCCCTGAGGAAAGTGACTGGAACAAGTAGATTTTACAGTTGCCTTGATTTACTCTTTAAAATGTAGGTAAATATCGGCATATACACACACATATAAATACACCAGTTTGTGTGTGTGTGTTTGTGTGTATTTTAGATCCAGGTTTAGGAGGAAAATAGGGAATAACCTGTGAATTATCTTACTATATTCAGGGGGGGCATCCTGTCAGTCGTTCCCTATGGCTAACACAGGCAGTAGGGTTCCCTTCCGACCTGTACGTATACCACCTGCAGTCCCATGCTGTTGTTTGCAACCTATTCACTTGCACACCATGAAAACGGGGCTTTTCCAGACAAGTTTAGCACTTGCAAGCAACCTGGAATGAAACTTCAGCTCCTAATTGAATTGAGGCAGTGATGGATATCAGAGCCCAGAAGACAGTACAGCAGCACAGAAAACCACATTAGGAACCAATATGTGAAACAAGGCATGATTAAACTGAACAAGCAGATTTTTCACTGGTTTAGACCAAGCCCATCTAGAAGGAGCTGATGAGTCATTGTAACATCAACCACAAAACGTCACAGGATATATTCTTTTTCTTACAAAACTACTTCTGAAAACTAAGCAACACCCCAAGATCACTAAATTAGGTACTAGAGTGACTAATTCCATTTTGTGTTCTAAATTTAAAGGGGGAAAGAATTTAAAAGTATTTCTGAATTTATCACTATTACCTTTTCATCCTCAGTTTGGCTTCTTTCTCTGTCATACTCCACGTTTATAGATAATTTTGCTTTCATTGCAGATATATTCCATCTAGCTTGCTACTAAGCATCCAAGAAATTGACAGTCATATTGGAAAGTTTAGTTTCCGTACAAGAGATGGTGTTATGCAGGTGAATGATTTAATTTGCAGAATAAGCAAAGAATGTGTATTATGTTATTATTTATTTGCTAGAGTATGAAATTACCTCAATTATGGGTTTACTAGACACTGTAAACTTCTCCCGAGTTTGTCTTTCTCTGAGAGATAATATGATTTAGTCTACTGTTTTATAATTAACTTCATAAAATTGCACTGAAAATTTGATTGTTAATGTGACCTAATCCAGGAATCCTTACTGGGATTAAACTCTTTAAGTCATCAGAATTTAGTCTGAGGAACTCTGTTAAATAAAGCAGAATGCCTGTGTGTGGCTGTACGCACACATAGTAACGACATATGGCATAGAGACTTCTGTAATGAAAGAAAACTACCTTAGTCTTTAATGCTATTTTGCATACTTAGTCCTTTTTTCTTTGTACGAGTGTATAAAAACAGTATCGCACAGTGCCAGGACATGGAGATTTCTTCTTTAAATCCCTCTGCGAAGTCTCCTTCTTGCCACCAACTCAGTCATGACCCATACTCTGCAGCAGGGTGGCATGTAATTAAAAATTTACCGAGGAGAAACAAACACGTTTTATTTGGTGTTTACTCCTTTCCCAGCCTGTTTGCACTTGGCTGCACTGTCTGGCACTGTCCTGCTCTACAGAGTAGAGCTGAGAATACAACTCACTAAATACAGATGAATGAAATATTTCCTTGATCTCTACATTCAGTCACATTTCAATGATACCAACGAATACAAATATAATAGAATGCTCTCCCTTACTCCTCCTTTAATTAAATTAAGCTGCTAAAGTAGTACAAGACAGAGAGACATGTCTGTAAAGCAGCCTGCCTTTTAAATGGCAGGGGAAATGGCTAACATGTTGTTTTCCCTCTCCTTAGCTCTTGTGTGCATCTGGAATAAGGAACATGCAACTTATCCTGGCCTATCAGGTCATTCAGAAAAATGCTCTTTTGGCAGCTGTTCAACAAGCCTCCTTTTGTTGCTTGGTCCAGCCTCCCCATACCCTGGACATAAAGGTTAGCAGCATCTTCTTCCTCACGTTGCACCAGTAATGGGTTTTGTCAGACTTAGCCCAAAGAGGGTATCTGTTAATTCTGCTTTTAATCAATTGGGTGGTAGTCCTGAGCAACACTTGGAACAGCATCACTGATGACTGCAGGAACTGCAGCAATTGTGTATTAACATATGACATAAAAATAAATGGTGTCACGTCAGTGATTTATTTAAAGTCTATTAGCTGGGTAAGTGATGGACCATAGCTAAAAATACGCTTCAAGAGAGGACTGAAAGAGATTGGAGATGAATTGGATTCAAAAGGCGGGTGAAGTCTTACAGCCTATGGTATGCAGTAAGGCTAGCAATCACAACCTGACTTTGAAATATGCATTCTTCTGGGATGGTGAAACCATCAGTTCCTGCTGCTTTCATTTGTCCTGTCTTCTGAAAAGAGAAGTATGGTCAACACTATTTCCAACAGGAAACATTCATGTCAGCCTGAGGCCACAATGCTGGTTCAAAAGCAACCTGCCAGGGTCACCAAGCCATTACTGTTTCTAACCTTACTTTTGGCATTTTTTTTCATCCTACGTTTAAGATATGGTGCTCAGGAGCTGCCTTTGCTTCATACCTGCTAAACTGTTGTAGGGCTCTGTTTTGCATTTTCTTATGCAGCTGTTGTATCTCTTCCAGAGACAGCTGCATTACAGTGATGAGCTAAATGACCTCCTATGCAATTTTGGATTTATAAGCAGAGATTCTTTACAGCTTGTCTTGCCTTTTCTGTGCTTATATTGACAACTCTTTCCATGTTTCTTAGGATACCACATCCACTCCCCCTCAGTCCCCGCTTGCATCCTCAATGCTTCCCATGCTCAGTCCTTTACCACCAGGCAGTAACCTCAGCTCATTGCTGTGTATGGGAAGTGCCTATGTTTTGCTGTTTAGCTGGGCAAGAAGCACTGTGTTTTACAGCAGGTTCGTAGCCGTGCACGTGCTGACTGCCTGGCTGTCATGCTGGGAGTCCAGCTGGCCACTGCTTCGTGGGAGCTGACCAAGCCAAGAAAAATGGCTAGGGAACAAACTCTCCTTGCCTTTTACCTGAGCAGGGGGTTCTCCTCACTAGCTGAATGCTGATTTTGCAGAACTGGGAGGAATTTTATACCCTTAAGACATCTGTTCTTACATGTATCTTACATGTGTTCTTAAATGTATTTAAAACTAGTCAGAGGTTCAAAAGTTGTTAGAGAGCTGTTGTCTCATTTTGGGTCACTCAGAGCTGCAGTGTGGGGTGGGAAAGATGTCTCATGCATGAGCATGAATTTGCATTCCTAGAGTAGTGTCCTACACGCTTTCTTTCCTTACACTGGAGCTGAATGTAAGGGAGCTCCTAGGACCAACACTCCCCCCAGAGACTGTCAACTGCACCAGCACAAACTTGTTTCACCACTGCATGGCTTGCATCCTGTCCCAACATGAGCAGGACAGTGATACTGCACCATGCAGCTGAGATCCATTGGCCCAAACTGATATCCTGACAGCCCACCAGAAAAAAGCTTAATGTCGTGCAGCCAGAGCTGCCTGCTTGCTGCTGAACAGGAACCCTTCGCACCACTGATCTCATGCAACTTTTGGCAGCCCACGGGCTGTGCCCCAGGGAGCTGCTGCACTCTGCAGCCGCTTGGTGGGCACCCAGGCGTTGGCAGCTGGATGGCCAGTTGTGCAGCCTCCCAGGGCTGGCCACGGTCTAGTTCGTCCCAGTGCCTGATTTCCGTTCCCTCTCGCAGAGAAGTCTGAGATTCCCCATCTTCATTTCTAATCAGATCCTGCAGCACTGAAATCCTCAGTGGAACTGAGCAACCTCAGTATTTTTCCCAAATCAATACTCTGCGCTGCCATACAAAGTGCTGGTGGTGTGTGTTTCTGCTGATAAACATGAGCAGTCTTACTCTGGAAATAGCTCTTCAACCCCAGTTGAAAAGGATTGATCTTCCAAACACTTGGTGCTCTTTTACTGTCCAAATACTGAATGGTTTCTTTTCCACAGAACAGCAGCAACTGTATTTTTTGTTTTCAGATATCTCCTCTCCTCTGTGAACCATTTAATGGCTGCTGCAGCCGTTCTGGATCAGTTTTTGCTGATTTACATTCAGTAGATATTAGCTAATCAAATTCAAACACAGAGGACAATTAATACAACCGACAGAGGCAATGATAAGAAGGTCATGCATCTGTTATTCTAGATTAACATGTAAAACTGGAAAAAATCTTGTATGACCTCCTTACATAGGAAAGGGAGATGGTTGCAGGGTGTCACAGGCTGTGTCTGCACTGAGGGACTCACCAATGCCGTGGGTGGTATGGTTGCCCACCCCACACAGGCCCATGGCGTCTCCCTTCAGCCCATGTGAAGAAGGGCTGGTTGCGTGATGCCAAGGGAGCTGTGTGCTCTGCAACATCCACCCTGGTCTGGATGGTTGATAGCCAAGACCCCTGGGCTGTGTCATGAAGGGCACAGGCTTAACCGACCCAGTCTCAGCATGCAGTAAACCCTCATGTAGACAAGCCTGTTTGATACTGGTCTAGGACCTTCAGAATGGCAAAATCCCACGTATTTGTAACCTCAGTGCCCAACTTCTCTGTACTGACTGATTACAGGCTGAAGTACTTCTCAGGAATTATGTCCTCCCGTCAGAAATAACACTGTGTCTGCCCATTTACTTCTAAGGCAGTTGCTGACCACTGTTTTTTTTAATGCATGTTGTATTAATGCAGGAAGAATTGTTCTCTGGGTCATAAGTCCATTTTCTACTACAGCAGAGCAAAGATGTTCTTTGGTAGACCCATCTGCAAGCTGGCACTACCCAAGCCTAGTCAGTACTTAGGAGGAGGAACTCAACTCTCAAAAGAGGGCTTTTTTTTCCAATTTTGATCTTTCCCTCTGTTTGCAAAAGACAATAATTCTCCTTGGCTTGCAGGGCAATTATTGTGCTTTTTTAGCTTCCCTGCAACTAATATGGAAAACCAAAGAAAGCTGGACTGCAAAGTGCTTGTGCCACTTTTGAAATACGACTTCAAGAACGTAGAAAAGTACCACTTGTTCCTACTTGAAAATTAGGATTATTTTTACATAAATATGCAGAAATTTCAGAAGTTCCTTCCTACCAGGACCCACTGAGACTTAACATAGGTAGTGTGGGGGCATGCATGTAGTTTTTGTGTTCATGGGGAGGCCAACTGATTTTCCAGACAAATGAGCTGGATATACAATTATTTGTACACATTTGAAAATGTGGCTATCTGGGAATATTCATATTTTATTTGCAACTGATTGAATGTCAAGCATGTTGTCTGATTTATAAACTGAGTACTGCTTCTGACTCTGCTGCTGCTACAATTTCATTATGCCTGTGCTCAATGAGAAATGGGTTTTTTTGGTGACTTTCAATGATCCCAGTGAATTATTATACCATAAAGCTGGGGCAAATGAAAGCATACAGAATTGCAAATCTGCATTGATTTAGTGGGAAGAGCTGCCAGTCTTTACGACAGCAAGCACAGAATTGATATTCATGATATTTTAGGAAGGAAATGTAAGTCTAACAAGTTGGAGAAGCTTGGCAAGTGGAAGAAATTCAGTGTTGGTGAGTGAAACAGAGGATCAGCTACTTCAAGCAACCACATCGGCCGCTTCGTTTTCTCCTGGGTGTTCTTCAGGTTTAGTCTGTACCATTAAAAAGTATTTCTTATAGACCCTACCCTCCACTGAGTAGGGTCAGTCTAGTGCAGGCATGAATCCCAAGCACTACCTGCTTTATATTGCCCTGGGCCTCCGCCATGACAAAACCCATAACGATGGGCTCTCGATTGTAAGGGCAGTCCCCCAGTTCTTGGTGTGGATTGGAGGTCTGAGATTGCTCAAATCCTGTTGCGATAACCTGTTATCGAAAGGAGGAAAAACAGGTATCTCGTAGGAGTTTCTAAACATCAATGAGTTTACAGTTGAAAACATTGCAAAATTCTGAGAAATAATACGTCAGCCAGGATACAGCCATCAAATATGGTTTTGGTCCTCTGGCAGAACAGAGCTTGGTCGCAGTGCTCGTTGCCCACTTACTAGTTCCTTTCCCAGCTTTTACATGCAGTACCATGTACTAACAAGGTACTGGAAAGACCCAGTTACAGCAATTTTTTACATTATTCAATGCTGATCAGCTGGAAGTTGAGCACGGAGAACTCTGTGTTAATTGAACAACCTGTGGTTTGAAGATACAAATAAAAAGGCATTCAACACGTCCAGCTTAGCCCAGGCAGCCTCATGGCTCCTGGTACTGCTGTAATGCCAGTATGAGGAGATACATTATTATTTTTTAATTTGTCATTATTTCTTTCACCATTTATTTCGCTTGCACTGAAATTAAAAATATGTAGACTGCGACACTGTCCCCAGATCTTACCTCACCTCTGGTAGCTGATCCACAAGATCCAGTATATTTGTACCTGTTGTATATACGCAATGAGTAAACGGAATCTCATTGGGAAAGCTGTGCCTGATCTAGAGACGTTTTTTTGAGTAGTCAGATGGCGGTTATCAATTTACCTTCTGCGAGGTGACTCCTCCCAGCTCCCACGCTTTTGCTCCCTCGCTAGGCCTCCAGAAGCTTTCGTTTCCATTCAGCTGGAGAAACGGGGACCCCGAGACAGGATGCTGAACACCTTCACTCAGAAGAGGGGAGCGCTGGAGAGCAGGCCTCAGAGCCCTGTAGGTACGCCAGGAGGCCCCTCAGCGTTTTCGAGAGGGGCAGTTACGTGCAAGGCTGCAGGCGGTGGCCCGGCTCCACCGGCAGCGGTGGGAGACTCAGGCGAACCTTCTTCCACTGTGCCATCTCCCGGTGGTCCCCCCGGGCCCGGCTGCAAGGCTCCTGGTGGAGAGGTGCATGGAAAGCAGCGGCAGCCTGCAGACCTGTGGCTACGGATGCTGAGGGGCATTGCTCCTAAACCGCTTCCGGCCTAGGTCAGGAGGTACGTTCTGGCTGTGGTTGTTCTATTAGGTGCA